TTTTTTTTTTTTTTTTTGAAGCTGCTGGATACTTTTTCCCTTTCTTTTCTTGCTGCTTAACCGCTTTTTCTCCCATTTACTTATTTTTCCAAATAAAACCCTGTGCATGACAGAGGTTCAAAGCTGGGCCGTACCATATCCAGAGCTGAATGTCCTTGCCAGCTGGGGGCTGTTAATGGCCCTTGGCAGACTGGTGGCCTCTAAGCAATTACTAAGTGGCGGAGGGGCTACATCACAGAAGACATTAACACGAGTGACAGTAATTGACATTCTTGCTGACAGCCTAAGTGCCTAGGCAAGAAAGGGCCCTGGAGACCGAATTCACCTATCAGTCCGAAAGCTCCTTCCGAACAAGGTTAGCCACCGCATTGATGGGCGCTACTGAGAAATCTGCGGTAGATTGACCCACGCTGGCATGCCGGTGGATTGACAGCCTGTAGAGCTGCCGCCACTAATCGGTACTCTGCCTGGTCTCGGTGATGGAGGGGGAGGGCCAGCATGATACAGACTCTGGAGGTCTGTCTGGCCTCTTTCATGATCACAAAATTAAGACAAAAAAAGAGGGTGGGCGTCCGGAACAGAGAGGGAGGGGGAGGCCACTAGTGACCGTGTTCTCTGATGAGGTCTCGTTTGTTCATATTTGAGCCAATCACCAAGTTGCATCTCTGATTGCCTCTCTAAGCAGGCATGTTTGGTTTTAGACAGGGAGAACTGGAGCTGCACATGTGTCAGAGAAGCACCTCTTCTGCCCTTTTTATTGCTTGCAAAATGTCAGGAGAATTTAATCAGAATAGCAATCACGGAGAGAGAACGTGCGGAACAAAGGCACATTTATCTTCTGTAGCGTTGCTTTTCAGGAAGAATCCGATTCCCCTTCACTTTCTGCGGAGGAACAAGAGCTTTCAGTCTGTTTTGGCCACAAGAAACTTTTTTTTTCCCCTCCTGTTTCTTATTGAAGGCTGGGGCTTTATCTGTCCATTAAAATGCAGTCTGCAAAAACGCTTGTGTGCTAAGCGGGGAACAAGAACAGAGAGTCAGTCCTTGTGAATACTGGGACAAACGTGGCCTTCAGTTATAACAGTGTAAATCCTGTGTGACTCCTTTGAAGGTAAAGGTGTTACTCTGGATTTACACCTGTGTAACTGAGACCCCAAACTGACGCACAGCCTCCTATTTTGAACAGGGCAGCTATTCTGATTCTCAGCAAGGATATCATTGTTGCAGCAGGGAGGTGTAAGGAGAGCGCGGTATTGTATTTGCACTGAGCGCAAATGAAGAAAAACCCCGTTGCAGTTAATCAGTACAAAGCGGGTGTAAGTGAAACCTCTGGGGTTCAGTTCATCTTTAGCATAATCTGATATAGGATATGATTCCTGGGAGGGATGGAAGATGGTAAGATAAAGCAGAGCCGGGATGGAGTTCTTTGTACATATGCTCACTACTACCTTCTAGTGGCAAGGAGCATTGCTCAGCTGGTGATATAGACCTTTCCTCAGTTTTTCAGCTTGGAGCTGGGGGGCTTATTCTTGAAGCCAGTGCTTGCCAGCTCGGTTCCTTAGGTCAGTCTGCAGACAACGATTGTCTCTGTGCAGTTTTTTGCAACGTCGTTCCAAAAAAAAATGTTGCAAAATACCATGGCTAGGATGAGACCAGGGGACCCTGGAAAATAAGGGAGAAAAGCCCCAGAGCCCAAGCAATATTTCCTGTGCAGTGTCTGACAATATTAATTACATGTGTGGGCAGCTCCTGTGTTCCCGAGGCCCTCACAACTCTGGAGGGAGTTTTTGGTGCACATGAAAAACTTGGTCCTACACTCCATGGGGACATTCACGCGGGCTGAGAGCTAACATGGGACCGACACACCACTTCAGTCCTCCCCAAGGCCTGAGGTGAGAAATAAGGACTTTATCAGCCTTTGTGCAGCAAGGATGTTCATGCAGTATTGTACAGCTACGATGAGGAACAACAGGCATGAAGTGAAGCAGCGGGTTAGGAAGCATCAGGCCCTCTGCCAGGGAGGCAGCGTCCATCCCTGTAATATCTGAGTGCCTTGCCGTATTTAATGCATTTATCTTGACAGCACCTTATAGAGAAAGGAAGAAATACAATGCCCTTTTACAAGTGGGTTTTAGAGGCACTGGAAAAACAGAGAGACTTGTCCAGGGTCACAAGGAAGCCTGTGGCAGATCAGGGTATGAACCCAGGTCTCAGACTAGTGCCCTATCCACTCCTTCTCTCACCTCCCTTTAATTCAAAGCCAGAACAATAACATTTTATGTCATAAGAACAGTTAAATAAAAGGGTATTTTTTAATCAGCCACCTCTTGCCAGAGTTAAATCTTTGGGCACATCCAAGCAGTATAAATAGGGTACCAGAGTTTGCACATGAACAAATGTGAATTCAGTAGATTTAGAGTGATTTCAATGGATAATTATAGGTTCTCAATCTCCAGTATTTATATAACCTTTCCAATAAAAAACCACAGTTTCCATGAAGGGAATATTCTACAGCAGGATTTATTTGACCTTCAGCACCATTTTTATCTGCAGGATATAATTACAGCTAAGCTAGAAATATTAAGCATTTGAGAAAAGAACTGTGTATTTGCAGTTTGTTGGCTCCATTCTCCTTTGCATGGGAATAGTTCACCAAGGGGAGAGGAAACTTGCAAATTGTTACCATTTGAGTTGTAGGCCTTGAGGCTCTGCATTGGGGAAGCACCCACATTAAGGAAAAAGTTGAAGCATGTGCCTAATGCTAAGTGGGTTGGAAGCCAATGGATCTTAAGCAGGAGCGTAAATGCGTTGCTGTTTCCCATCCTAAAATCTCAGGAGTGCTGTCGCGTACAAATGTATGTATGTTGTATGGAATAGCGGGGTGGGGAGAGTGGAGAGCAGAATGGGTTGGTGCCAAAGGTAACTTGCTAATCATTATGACGTCCAAGCCGATTACTGGCAAAAAGCACTTTTTCCAGAACGTTTACAGCTTTTTTTTTTTCTCTCGTAGATTTTTTTCTTTAATTCTCTTAAAGTAACCACAACAATGTATTAAAAACTTTTTATGTAGGACAGACAAGACAAGGGTAGAAGGGAAAAGAGCAGTCACCAGCTTGCTCAGCGACACTGATGGAGAATTATGCTGGGGCTGCTTCTGGTTTTACAGGAGTTTTATAGTGATATAATTTTATTGATTATTTTGCCTTACTTTGGAACAAACAGGTTTTAGGCTCAAAACATATCCCTCAGCTATTTCTCTGTCTGCTACGCTTCTAAAAGCCAATCTTCAGTTGAATATTATAGACAGTCCTTTGTAGATCTATACCATATGGATTTTCACTACCACCCTGATGATCAGGGATCCTGGTAGCCCCAAATCCACGTTTCCATGATTAAAATGAAACACCACTATCTATCTATCTGTCTAGATAGATATATTAGTGGTGTTTTATTTAAATCACAGAAACATGTGGATTAGGGGTTACCTCTTTTTAACCAAAAATTGGGGATTTTTTTTAAATCAGAGAAAACCAGGATCCCTGCTGATGATGTCTCTTGCTCATATTCCTAAATACCATTGGCTACTTACACAATTTCTGTTTTGTTGACTTTTACTTATCAAAACAAAGCTATAGCCTTCCCATTCATTGCTTTTGGTCCCAAGTGCTGCAAATGTGTAAGCATGTGCTAAATGCTCTTTACCTGCATGGTCCCATTGATAGTCTCATGTATAGTTAACATGTGCCCAAGTGTTTTCTAGGACTAAGGTCTTGGAGGTGATCAGAGATGAGCATGTTTCATTACCACTCG